GCCCGAACCTGATCGAACCCGGCCAACTGCTCCCGAGCTTCCCTATTCAACCTCTCTGCAAACTCCCTCGACTTTTCAATCCCGAGCAGCTTCGGATATGTCGTCTTGTCCGCCACCAAGTCCTTGCCAGCTGTCTTACCCAGCTCGTCCGAGCTTTTCGTGACGTCGAGTATATCATCCACCACCTGAAACAAAAGCCCAATACACCTCGCGAATTTTCTCAGCTTTTCCACTTCCTCATCGTTCGCCCCACCAAGAATCGCCCCCAATACCACTGAACCCTCCAAGAGGGCCGCCGTTTTATGAAGGTGAATGAACTCCAGATGGTCCAATCCTACCTCAGTCATACCTTCCGAGCAAATATCGACCACTTGACCGGCAACAAGCCCCTCGGAGCCGATGCAGCGGGCGAGCTCGCCCACCGCGCGAACGATCCTTTCCGGCGGTACCCCTTTTGTGGCGGTGGCCATGTGCTCAAAGGAGAAGGCGAGGAGGGCATCTCCGGCGAGAACGGCCACGTCCTCTCCGTAGATCTTGTGGTTGGTGGGTTTCCCACGGCGGAGGTCGTCGTTGTCCATGCAGGGGAGGTCGTCGTGCATCAGGGACATGGTGTGGATCATCTCGACGGCGCAGGCGGCGGGCATGGCGGTGGCCTCGTCTCCGCCGGCGAGCTCGCAGGCGGCGATGCAGAGGACGGGGCGGACGCGCTTGCCGCCGGCGAGGAGGGAGTAGCGCATCGATTCGTGGATACGGAGGGGCTCGCGGAGGGGGACGGCGGCCTCGAGGGCGGCGTTGACCGAATTGGCTTTGTCGAGCATGTAGCGCTTGAAATCGAAGGCGGCGGCGGCGGCGGCCTTTTCATTATCTTTGCCCTCTTGCTGCTCCTTGGTGAGGACTGCGGACGGGGTGTTCGATGAAATGCGGATGGGCTTCTTGGAGGGTTTTTTGGGGGAAAAGAAAGAGATGGGGAAGACGGATCTGGAGCTAAGGACTTGTAAATCAATGGTGGATCTTCTTTGCGTCCATGTCGAGACCGGAGTCACGAGAGTGCTCATGATTATGTTCTCTTTTTTTTTTTTCAATTGTCGAAGAAAATTTGAATGAAGACTTGGTTGGGGATGAAGAAAATGAGATTGGTGCTTGGGAATTTGAAGGAGGATTTTCTTCTGTTCTCAGACAATTGGAGCATCCGCCATGGAAGACGGCGACGGGCAGTGGAGGAGATTAAAGAAGAAGGTTTTGTGGGGGAGCGAGTGACAGACTAGTGTGGAGATGGAGATGGTGATCATGTGTAAATCGAGGATTGGGAATTAAATATTATAGAGATATTGGGACGTGATTAGTAGTGCCAAATTTTCAGGCTTTCTTTCATTATTTTATTCTGGTTTTAGTATTAATAATAATGTAGCTTGGAGTTGCGTACCATTGACTTTTACTGAAATTACTAAATTCTAAAATGATATAAATAATATTATGCCATGTTCACATGCACTTAAAAGTCACCGTAAGAAATGATATATACTACTACCTTGTAGTAGTATTTTTTTTACATGTCATTTTGATTTTATCAATAACTAATTAAATAAATAATATTTTGAATCTTTCGTACACATTCTGAGATAGGAAAATTTTACAGTCCCGTTATGAAATTATTCAGTCGTGTTTGTAACCGTGAGATCTACTATCACTGACGGTTACATGATTATCTAACGGTTACAAATCTCAAGTAATTATTACAATACTTGGTGCACTTTACAATACCTACTTTATTACAAAATTACAAGCTATGTATATTTATTTGCAAAGGAACTAAATATATACATTTTATTTGCAAATGTACCAGAAATATACTCAAATAATACGTTAACCAAAAAAATGAATCAAAAGTTTAAGTTTACTAGAAATATATTCAAAATATATACCAGAAATATACTCAATTAAATATATATATATATACTCAAATAATATATACCACAAATATACTCATATATATATATATATATTGAGTTGTAGTTTATGTCGATAAAAAAAAAGAATGAATAAAAGAAAAGAGATACCAGAAATATACTCAAATAATATGTGAAATTAGAAATAAAATACGAAACAATAATGTATACCTCTTTTTTTATGTGTTACAGTGTTAGTATCCCTTTTGTTTCTTTGATAATGGGAATTGAGCCGTGTCCCTTGTTTTTGAAGATGGAACAAATTCAAAATTCAAATTTTTTTTTTTTTGGTATAAGAAAGGAGGCAAAGCCTATGTTCCGACTATTTCACCACCCGGCGAGGGTGAGACACGCCGGCAATATCGTGTTGTAACCATTACCCCGCTCCCGGAGGGGGGCGCTCCAGTATATGCAAACCGCCCGGTCCTTTTGCCGCCAACGACGCTAAGAAATCCGCTACAGAGTTGGCTTCGCGATAGACATGAGTAAGTGTCACATTCTATTACCGACGTAAAAGATCCTTAATGCATTTCAAGAGAGTTCCATGCGGCCCGGTATTGTCATCATGATGAACCATCTCAACAACGCTTTGATTATCCACTTCCACCGTGACATTTCGCGCTCCAATATCCTAAGCCAAATGCAATCCCTGAAATAATCCCCATAATTCAGCACCCATAATTGAACAAAAACCACACATGAGCAGTGTGGAAGGCCATGAGTCCACTGTGGGACTCAATGGAGTCGGTGGGTCCCCCGGGACACGAGCCAGTCAGGGCCGCGGCTAGACTGGGCTCACCAGGCAGGGCCACGGCTAGCCTGGGCTGGAGGGGCTGAGGGTTAGTTGAACCCTCATCAGAACACATTTGCCATAATGGTCCAGAATGACCCCGCCTGCACTAGCCATCCCCGACGATGAAACAAAACTACCATCAGTATTAACTTTGAGCACTCCCACCGCCGGAAGGACCACGATATCCACTGTCTTTCACGCGCCACACAAGCATGTAACTTGCTGCTTTTGTGCTCCACGATTCATTACCAAGTAATTAGGATTATGTTGTGGATATATTCACATTCCATATATATCAAATTGGTATTTTAAAGTTCTTATCAAGGAAATAAATAGCTCGCTAAAGTTGCCGCTATTTGAGAAATAGCTTTTTTTTTTACAACGTGCCGCTATTTGTATTCATGTGCAATTTAGCCGCTAAATCCCGCTAAATCTCCGCTATAGCTCTGTAGCTACAGTGCCATAAACGTTTTAGCCCGCTATTTAAAACCTTGGTTCTTATCTATTGATAAATAAAGGCAGAAAATTTAGGCTGTGGGGAGTTTTTTTGTCACAAATATTTCTAGGCATAAGCACAATTATTTAGGATCAATCCAGTATAGATGCTAATATTTTTTTACAGTCGTAAATATGCAATTATTTTACATGGAGCTGAGTATGTGTGTAAATTTCCCCGGGTAATTTCCTCCAAAATTGTTTGTGTGCGAGTGTAGCCCGTTTCTATTGGCTTTTAGCTACTCTTTTCGGCCCAATTCAAAGAAATATCGGCCCACTATGTTATCCTCTCACGCGTCGTCCATAGCAGAGTTCAAGCCGCTTTCTCTTTCGATTGAATCTCACCTTAAAATCTCATAAATTGTTTTCGACCCTTCAGTCTTTCCCGTTCGCATCACTCGCAGGTACGATAATCCGAGCTTCAGATCCCAAGTTCTAATTTCTTTAAAATCTCAGATTTGTTCACACCCCATCGTACAAAAATCTCAGAACCAGTCCCGTCGACCTACCTCAGTCGCAATCGCCACCGGAGAATCACCATGCGAAAGCAAGTCCTATCCTTAACGGAAGCCGCGGCTGCTAGAATACGCCAACTCCTTGAGCAGCGCCAGCGCTCTTTCCTCAAGCTCGGTGTCAAGGCTCGAGGCTGCAACGGCTTATCCTACACCCTCAACTATGCCGGTTTGCAATTGTCTTTCCATGTCTATCATTTATAAAATGTATCATGATATGATTTGTTTATCAGGGTATGAATTGAAGCGAATTTGTCGACATTAATTTAGGGAGTTGGACGACTGGAGGGCACAGTATCTGGTTAGGTTTAGTTGTATATATAGTGAGTACAGCGTACAAGATAATATATGCAAATTTTGATGAGAAATTGTTGGAGGGAGATGCATTAGGTTTGTCTTATAGGTTGATTTAACCATGTAGCATGGTGCACCATGAGGCTGATTACCGAAAGAAAAAATTACTCGCATTAAGTCTGTCGATTTTATTTGCATTACTTTGTCCTGTACTTACTGATGTTGCTGAATGATGGAAAGTAAATGTAGAACTGCTTATGGATGATGGAAACACAATTCAAGGATTTTAAAGGATAGACTACTCTGATGGAAATTTGTGGAAGAAAAATTATAAGTCTTAGGACAATGATTTTGGACAGCGTATTATTTGCTAAGACCATTTTATTCATCTCTTGACTTTGATGATCTTTATTCATACTATTGTCCTGGGTTTTCTGTCTTTGCTGACTCGTTTCTTGCAAATCACTAAATTTTTTATATTTCACTCACAGATGAGAAAGGGAAGTTTGATGAGCTGGTCGATGATAAAGGAGTCAAGATATTGATTGATCCAAAGGCCCTTATGCATGTCATAGGAACCAAGATGGACTTTGTTGATGACAAACTGAGGTGTCATCTTGTTCTCCACTTTCAATTGCATATTGCTCTCTGCGTTGAACTGAAACTTTTTATAGCTGATCTCATACTTTTCACTTGTACTTCGTACTTTGTGTTTTAGGATTGGTAGTGTACTCTATACGTAAATTGTGGAGGATATGGATGAAAAAAACTATTCCAACTGGTTGTTTAATTTTCTGGTTTTCCATAAACTAACAAAAAAAATAAGTGGATGAATTTATTCTGTACATTACTACCTAGATCGCTTAGTGTTCCTAGTCAACATGGTTTTAGAAGAAAGATGTGGAGATTTATAAAGATGACTTAGAAGTTAGATCTTCTAATGTCCTTCCAAACTTAAAATATTGTGATCTCTTCTTTGCTTTTCTGTATTCGAAACAGAGTTTTGAAACCGAAAATCAAATTCCATGCAATGCAATTCTGTAGAATAATTCTACGTTGGTGTATCTTAAATTCAAGTAAACCTGTAAAATATTCGAATTCTGACATCTGTATTGTGCTCATGATCAGATCAGAGTTCATATTCATCAATCCAAATTCTAAAGGGCAGTGTGGCTGTGGAGAATCCTTTATGACAATGAGCAGCTCTGATGCAGCCAAGCGTGGCAGCAGCTCAAGTACTTAGGTCATAATCAGCTTCATTTTCCGTTCTATTACATTTGCGTAAATATGTAGTGGTGTTGAATTGTGGCATGAGATTTTTCTTTACTTTTCTTTACTTTTTCTTAGGTGTGCTCGTCTGGGTGATGTAAATCAATGTAAACATGCTTATTTTTTTATCGAAATAAAGCAATATGCAAACATGAAATGACTCCTCTTCTATATTTCCTTTGTGCTAATTGTGATGTAAATTGAATGTAACTGCTAACTTTTTGTCTTGTTTAGTCACTGGAATTTTCTTTCCTTGTCTAGCATACTTAAGCTGATCTTGTTTGCATTTTCAGTCACCTATTATGGCTTTAGGAATCGTTTCTAGTGTTGCCTTAATGATGCTAGACAGATTCCCATTGAGATTTTTGGCATAATTCTGGTGCTGGGACTCTCTCAGGGTTTAGTTGCAACGGCGAAAAAAAAAATAATAATAATAATAATAATAAAATATGACAATAAAATCACATTATACATGGATAAGTAGGCAAACACGTTAAACATGGCTCTACTAAGTATCCAACATAATAACAGTAAAACACACTCAACACAGATTGACAAATTAGATTTTCCATGCAAACAGTTGATGGAAAATAAAGCTTGCTAGTTGCTGCAGTACAATGAATAAGAAAGTAATAATGTTTCTCATTGTTTTCCCGCCAATGCAATTATCGAGATTTTCCCGATTCATTAGAAAAGATGAGTGAAGCGGGTCCAGAATCTCGGTTCTGTTTAGCTGGCTGGGATAATCGGTCCTTTGCCCATTCTTCCAAGGCTTTGCGGTGAAGAGCATTCATACGAATGGAAGACCGTTTTTCTTTGACTATCTTCTCTGCACTTTTCCAATCTTCTGCCAAGCCAAGAGCCACAAGCAGTGCACACATTACAGCCACACTACGTCCATGACCTGCAAAAGTCACGATTTTTTTTATTTTTATTTTTTTATTTATAATAAGAATGCGATGCATCGAATATCTAATCCCTGAGGATTAAACTAATTACCAAAGAATCGACTAACTTAAATAGAATTAACCACAAGCTTCTTCAGGTATGATTGCATGAAAGGTAGAGACTTACAGAAATAGTACAATTACACAAACAGCAAAATATCCTACAAAGTACTATTCGAAGAATTCATGGATGTATATATAATAACTGATTCGATGTATATATAATAACTGATTCGATGTTTGCACTAACTTTTTTCAAATACACAAACTCCAGCAAGGAAATTTTCAAAGCTTGAATCCGCTCTTTCCATTCCATACGTCTGTGTTAGCAAGTGCTCCGGCTAAGGGTAAACTGTAAGAGAATTCTCTTGCTATTCTCGCCTCTGTGATGGTATATTTCCAGAAGGAGGGAGACATTCCGACGCGGGGGTTCTATTCTCCAAACGAAGCGAAGCGAAGTGAAGTCATAGAAGCGAGTAGGGCTCTCTCTCGATGTGGTGCCTTTCACTCTAATCTCGTAATTAGCGTCGCAGAAAATCCATGCCGATTTTTTTAGAAAATCAAATATCTATTCAAATGAATTGAAATTCCATTTTGAATCCTTTTATTCGCGAGGAGCTGGATGAGAAGAAACTCTCACGTCCAGTTCTATAGTAAAGATGGAATGCCGAAACAATCATCCACTATAACCCCAAAAGAACTAGATTCCGTAAACATAGAGGAAGAATTAAGGGAATATCTTATCGAGGTAATCATATTTGTTTCGGTAAATATGCTCTTCAAGCACTTGAATCCGCTTGGATCACATCTAGACAAATCGAAGCAGGTCGGCGAGCAATGACACGAAATGCACGCCGTGATGGCAAAATATGGGTCTCACTTTATCTTTCGAAAGCTTGAGAAAACTGAAAGTCTCGGTCTTGGGAGATCGGACGGTCACGGCTCGTAAAGACGAGACTCCTTCCTTCTTTAAAAAGAAAAGCTCGGGTTAAGGCCAGAGAGAGATCCCCTAGTCGGGGAGCCCGAATGTAGACTATTGCACTTGAGACTTAGGTAGTTAAGTTGGAAAAACACTTGATGCAACAGCACTGAAACATAAAGACAGGGAGTTGATAGCCTGAAACCAGAAACTATCCTGCACTTTATTAGGAAAAAAAAAGCTTTTTAATCGAACCAAATGCACCCCAAAACAAGCCACCGAAGCCTTTACAACAATCAAAGCAAACTCATGGGCCCTTTCTCTGTTATTGGTGCTGTCATGCTTGCGAAATCAATCTTATAAGAATAGCATGTACTTCTGTTCATGCTTTTCATCCCATATCCATGTGTTGACTACAGACTTGCATAATTATTATGTACTTTCTTCTGCTTTCTTATGTTGTTATTCAAGCAGTTAAACATACCAGTGGCAACGATATTGGAAATAAGGAGAAAAAACAAATTATTTCTACCATGGGTAATGTCTGCAGCATTGTTTTCATATCGTCTGAGGATTCAAGCCCCACATTTTAGTTTTCTCTTAGAAAGCGTGCGCTTTCTTCTCTCTAGACGAACACACAAGCCTTGAGTTGAAGCATGAGCTTTTAGTTTTAACTCAAAAGTCAAAAGGAAGTCGAGTGGAGCTCTAGTAACTAGGAATATATCTCTAAAAGCTACCAACAACTAAAAGGAAATCTAAAGTCTACTGGTTTTAAGTAACGTCTATTCAGATTTTAGTTTTGCCTGCATCCCAAAGTAATAAAGTAATCTGCACATAGATTTGTGATTTAAACTTTGCCTGCAATCCAAAGTAATGACTAATATTCACGCAGACTTGTGAGGAAAGAATTTAGCATAAATTGAAAAAGAATAAGTGCTTGAACAATGGCCAGTCATTCACATCTCGAATTTTATTTTCAGGACCACTTATGTCATTTAACAGTGGGTGACTACCTGAGTTATATTCTGGTTTGCAACGCTTACTCAATAAGCCAGTGAATGAGTCCTTAGCTCAAAATTGAGGTCTTATTCTTCTAGTGGACCAATTTCTAAGGTCTGGGTGTTAGGATAGCAGAGCAAAGCTTCGGTGTTAATACTGTGAGACAATTAAGTTCTGAAAGGAGAAAAACTGCAAAAATATCCTTAGCTATAAATTAAACTTTGCCTGCAATCCAAAGTAACTGCAAACTTTGCGGTCCGACTTTAAACAAGAAAAGCCTTTACTAAACTCAGCAAACAAACTCATAATGTCACTTCTCACCTCCCTTACTGATTTATTTCTACACACTATGATAATGATAACATAACCAACTCATAAACTAACCATTACACAAGAATAAAGTGTACACATAGAAAGCACTGCAAAAATAACAAAAAACAACACCATAAACAGAACACATACCATATGCACAGTGAATAAACACCGGAACCTTCTGAGCCCTCTTCCTACAAGCCCAGTTCACAGCCCTTTCAATCTCAGCCGGGTGAGGCGACCGTGTGTCCCAAGTGGGAATGCACAGATAAGCATGCCCAGAAAGCTCCTCCTTCCTGGGAAGCTCACAAGTGCAGTCGATAATGGCAGGTTTACCGGGCGGGCACTTTTCCGGCGAGTATGGCCACCCACCCACATATAATCCTTCGAAAATTTCGGTATACGGCGGATCCCCAGTGGTGAACCTCCTGATAGCTGAAAAGGCTCGGACGAAATACAAATGTGGACTGAACAAAATCAATGACCAGATGGGTATTTTGCCATCTGAGCCCTTTCCGATGAGTATAGGGAGATTGATGCAGGGATGTGAAGCGATTGCAACAAGGAACGAAATCAGGGATGCATATAAAACGGGGACTGATAGCAAAGCTAAGCCGAGTGTTCTGAGATATGCGAAGAAAATGAATAAAGCTGCGGCCTTTAGGCCTATGAGAACAGATAAACCCACACCCATTATTCAGACACGATACTATATGTATTTTTAACAACGATCGGACTTCAGCTAATGAAAAATATTGGAACCTAAACAAAATCTATCAAAATTCTAGAGGATTATATTGGAAGGGAGAAGAGGTCGAGACGAACAGTGCAGACGGCAAGATTCATTGTTTATGTTATGTTAGTAATGGCGGACCAGGTTCGGGTCAACCCTACCCTTTCTTTCTGTCCACTCAAAACACGAGACTCGCACTGCGCGCGATTGGAAATAGACGAAAGATTTGGGTTTTGTGGATTTTTTTTTTTTTCTAATGATATACAAATTTTTAACTTAAAAATTTACTACATCAACTAAGTTAATTCTTTTCAATATTATTAATATAATTTTTTGGACAATATTACGGCTAAATTTTTGTCAGCAAATCCCTTGCCACCAGCGCCGCTCCTCCTCTTTGCCTGCTCGTCGCAGCTTGCTTCGTTCCTCCGACCATGTGTTGGGCCGGTGATGGGCAGCCTACTCCTCCGCGCTCCGCATTTGTAGTCCTGAGGTGGTTTCAGCGGTGGAGGGCTTTTTCGCCTCGCTCCACCATAACTAATATTATTTATATATTTAATTTACGCTCCACCATAACTAATATTATTTATATATTTAATTTATAATACAGTCGTAATATTATTTTAAAATAACCAAATATTTTTCTAAGGAGGGTGTATTCAATTGAGATTTTTAAGGACTTTTTAAAACTTTTTAAATTTGATGACTTTTGTGGACTTTGTAGAACTTTTATAACTTTGGTGGACTTTTTGAGACTTTCAGAGAATTTTTATCAGTGACTGTTGAAGACTTTCATAATGGACTTTTTAAAACTTATTGAGACTTTTATATACTTGCAGTTATAATATTATGTTTGTGAAGTGAATAAGTTTCACCCGGGCTCCTTCCACTCGAACCGGCCTCCGTACCTGCAGAACCCAACGCCGGGGGTGGCCCCGGCGTCGGGCCTCCGATGCCTAAGTCAGTGCTCAGATCAAGAGAGAGAAAGTGTAGTGATGTAATGAGGAGAGAATATAGTATAGAATGAATAGTGAATAGAGATTGAGAGAAAGGAATACCTTAACCCCCCTTTTATAGGGGAAGTGTACCTTTTGGGCCCAAATTGGGCTTGGCCCATGTCGCGGTGCTATATGTCTTTAGTCCGCACGTGAGCTTATCTTCTAAAATGTATTCGTTTTATCTATAAACCAGGTCCAGTATAATATCCTATATCAGTTTGAATAAAATATTAATAAATGTAACATAATAACTAATATAAACATGAATAAATGAAAAAAACAAAAGATGTTGTATATTTTAATCCTCTAAAAATTTATGAATAAACTCATTTTTATGCAAAATGAGTTATTCACGAACAAATTGTTTAGGATTTTACATTTATTAAACGAGTAAATCGATCCGAGCTTCAACGAGTCGAATCCAACAGAGCCTTACATTTGTTTGTTAAAAGAGTACAAAGTCAAATATGTGTTAGACATCTCTACTATAACGACACTTATAATCAACTCAAAAATTAAGATATATTTATTTAATTATTTATTTATTTATTTATTTATTTATTTATTTATTTTGCATAATGTTGTTATATTAGAAAAATATTATTAGGTTAGGTTATATTTTTACAAGATACAAACATGCCGAAAAACAGTAACTGTATCTTGTAAAATTATCAATAATATTCAAAACATTTCAATATTAACAAATAAACTATTTGAAAATAAAATATTTTTTTAATATTTTGAAATAAACATTTACAAATAAAAAGAAAGAACAAATAAATTATTTGCAAGTGCAACTATGGAAGCATTAACCTTTGAAAAGTCAAATTCACAAGATAGCAAAATGAGAAAATAAGGTATACACACATAAAATAAGCATAATAAAGAATATATAAAATAAAAAGATCACAATAATATGTAATGAAAATAAAACTTACACAAGGTATCAAAATAAATAAGTAAAATAATATAGCATGAAAATGATATGGGATACAAAGTCGTGTTACAAAGAAAAAAAAGAGCGTGAAAAGAGTCACATAAGTCCAACAAAATTTCACCAATATTGATGAGATTTCTGTTGAGACTTTTTCTTTGTAATTTTGTTACAAAAGTCTCAAAATTTAAAAAGTTTCACAAAGTCTTTCTGTTTTGAATATCGAATGACTTATAAAGACTCTCAGAATGTTTTAATTGAATACCCTGAGACTTTTAGAGACTTATTAAAAGTCATTAAAAGTCTCAATTGAATACATGTAAACTTTTTAGAAGTCTTTAAAAGTTCTAATTAAATACACCAGAATTCTAAAAGTCTTAAAAAGTCTCTAAAAGTTGCAAGAATACAACCCTATAAAATAACCAAACTTGTTTTTTTTTTTTTTTTTTTTCTTAATCCAACCTTTGACGTGTAATAATGACGCCAGAAGCCACCTAATAAACTTGAAATATCCTGTCATCATCTCTCCCAATAATTCACTTGTGCAGTGGGTACCAAACTGTTCTTTCTCACGCACAACACAATCAGCAAAGTACCATGGCGATGGCGACGGCCTTCTCCACCTCCTCTTTCACTGTCTTCCACTTTAAACGCTCTGAATCATCCCTCCCTCTTTCGAGTTCCTGCATTTTTCCGTCTAAGTCCACTCTCTACCTTCCAGTCGGGTTGCGTTTTGATTCTTCCAGTCAGAGGTAAGTCCTGTATTTCCCCCCTTTCTGGCCGGCTCAGTTTCCGTAATTTCATTTGTTGCTTTTTGTTCATATCTTAGACGAATTTAGAATGTTCAGTAGTTGAATACTGTTTGTTTGATGGTTTGTTTGAAGGGTTCATGGGTTATTGGATATGATTTGATTTTCCTTCTGTTCTATGGATGACTTGGTTCAAAATGTTGTGTAGGCATGTACCGATGCATGCCTCTATTGATGGGGTGGATTCGATTGATTCGATTTCATTGGTAAGTCGAATCTATCCATTGAATAATTGTTGATTGCTGGTAAAATGTTATTATGGATAAATTTGACATGTGGAAATTATGATTGTAAGACACCCCCTTTTAGGGATTGATCTTTCAGGTCTAAATAATCCTTTCCAGTTTTGAAATGCTTGCGAGGAATGAAGTCATTCTTTGTTTAATTTTTTCTTTGAGTACTCTCTATGTCCTTAAGTTGACTCAAAAGCTAACTTTGTAACACTACTCTTCAGGTAAGTAGTGTTTCGTGGTGATTATGTTCCTTATGGGTAGAGCTCCTGTAAGTATAATTGTGGAGTTGACATCTGACTTAATCATATAATGCCCTTTTCTCAAGATGAAACTCACATGCTTGGATGTTTCAAGAATTACACTTATGGACTACCATATGGAAGTACTTTCAGGACTGAAGTGATGATTACATGAAGTTGGAAAGATAATAAGTTAAATTTTACTTGTATCTTGATTGGCTGACTGTTAAACGCTTTACCATTCGATCTCATGGTTTAGTAATTGAGTGTATTTATCATAATAGAAGCACCGAGAACAAACTAAATTCACAGTGCAAGGTTTTGAAAGGGTAGGAAAGTTTTATCTTTTCCCTCTCGTCTTGTCCTTGGAATCAGACATCAACCATAGACAACAATCTGCTAAGGGGAAGTTTAAGTTAAAATTGAAATGTTTTCCCAGTAATCGAATTCTCATGCTCCTAGTTAAGAATTCCTATTTCATTACACAAACTGTTAATATCACAGACTGAGTTTATGTTCCTTTGTTCATCTATTGTTCTCCTTTATTTGTTTATTTTATTTGGTAAAAGAATTACGTAATGGCATTCGGATAGAGTAAGCTTTAGTATAGATGACGAGCTGAATTATTCGAGATCTTCATTACAGTCGACATTTCACCTAACTCTGTCTAGTCTATTTTATCCCTCTCCCAACCTTATTGTTTGGTTAACAACTAATAACATAACTTATGTCCAATACAGAATTCTAAGCAGGAGAATGATTATGTTCCAATGCCCATTGTTCTGATAGATCAAGATACTGATCCTGATGCAACCATTGTGCAAGTTAGTTTTGGAGATCGACTTGGTGCTCTTATTGACACGGTAAAAAGATGTTTTTCCCTTCTGTACATATTTATTGAGCTATTTGTAGTATAAGTAATGTTATTTGCCACTGCAGATGAAGGCACTCAGAGACTTAGGCTTGGATGTTACCAAGGGAACTGTTACTACTGAGAACTCTGTCACTCAAACCAAATTTTTTATCGCACGACGGTAAGACATAACTTTGTCAGGTCTTTCTTTGGCCCACCGCTCACAATTGATGTAATGTCAGGCAACAGAGTTCACAAATGATAATTTCCTACGAGTATTGAAATAATAAAAGACATGGCATAGGTTGAATTGGAATACATATCCAAAATATCCAATGTTCATTTGAACTGCAATTTCCTGTCAGCAATGACTTTGGTCTGGATGTATCATTGGATGTTCATTTTGGTTGTATTAAAGGACATAATATGTTAAACGAATTATGATTTGTGAGCATTGCCCTGAGTCATACATTCCACGTAAAATATCCTTTTGCCACCAGTATGACATGCAAAAGACATATTATGTTCTGTAACAGTTACATATTCTTTTTTCTTTTATATCTTTTGACAAAGTGATTTCAGTTTTTATACCTTCATAATGCGCACTTGAATATTGTAATTCTTAAATTACATGTGCGTTACTTTCTGCAGGTCGACTGGACGCAAAGTTGAAGATCCCGATCTCCTGGAAAGAATTCGTTTGACCATTATCAACAACTTACTCAAGTATCATCCAGTATGTTTTCCTAACGAATATCCATGTAAACTAAGCATGTTATTTTTAGGTAGTTTCATATTTGTACCGCTGCCTCTCATTAGTGATCGGTCCCAATTATCTAACTCTTAAATTCATTTTGTTGTGTTATTTAGGAGTCCAGTGAGCGTCTTGCTATGGGTGAAGCTTTTGGAGTAAAACCTCCTGAAGTAAAGGTGATGTGAAAGACATGCTTGACATCTTTCCCTACTGTTTTGTGATTGGAATTTATATTTCTTCAAAATATTATCGGCGAATATACATCAGCTGTTTCTTCTGATGTTCAGTCTTTTTTCTGACATATTTACTCGAAACTAGAGTCACGGTCTGTTGCTTTACACTGATCCATATATTTTAATTTATGATGAAAATGCTCAATATTTCTTTACATTTTTTAAATATTTCTACAGTTGATTAAATATTTCTGTACATTTTTCTTTTTTCAAGTGATCCTGATTTCTCAGGTTGATGATTCTTTATATACTTCCAATGCAGCTCTTACAAGTAATCGTAATAATCAATTGTTCATATATTTGTTGTAGTATGATTACAAATTTACAATTTTATATTTGTACAATTATGACGTGTTTTGTCTTTCCCCCAGGTTGATGTTGATATTGCAACTCACATACACGTTAAGGAAGATGGTCCCAGGAGAAGGTGATTCAAGTGACTAAATTTGCAACCATTTTCTTATCATTGGTTTAACATGACCTAATCAGTTAAATACTCCTGAAACAAGAATGGTCTACTTTGTATTGTTTCTCTTCAAATTCCATATTTCTTTTTCACCACACTTTATCTGTCACCATTGCAGCTTGCTCTATATAGAGACGGCTGACCGACCAGGATTGTTGATGGAGATGGTCAAAATCATGGCGGATATCAATATAAATGTTGAATCAGCCGAGATCGATACAGAAGTAATAATACTATGATTAGCATGTTGACGCATGATTATTAACTCTAATTGTTGTCATTAGAACATTTTAGTATAACTTGATGTATATTAACACTCAGGGATTGGTGGCCAAGGACAAGTTTCATGTCAGCTACAGAGGAGCAGCCTTGAATAGTTCCTTGTCTCAGGTAAAAATTATCGGATCATGCCCATTCTCTGGGCTTGCTTGCTTCAACTTGCAATATGAGAGAGGCTTTAGTTAAGTAATAAATACATAATCAACTCCTGAGGTTTAGTACAATTACGTACAACCTAATTATATTTTAGGATTATTCTCAGTCCCTTGAGGCATTGTTTTACAAATTACGCAATCAATCAGTTGCAATTTGTAGAATAGAATTACATATTAAGAGGGTGTTTGTAAATTTATTCAGTTAGTTTAGTTTTGTTTCTCCTTTCTTTTCCATCTCTCCTATTTTCATTTTTTTTTCTTTTATTCGGCTGAAGTTCATGGGCATGTGTTTATGTGTTTAAAAGTTATCTTGAAGTGGGATTACTATGCATAATTTTCAACTTTCAAGGGATCTATGAAATACCAGTTCAATAACTAGTTTTATTGCCCTATCATCCCCACTAAGATGTTACAGTAGGCAAACACTAAGGCTATGTTTGGTAGACCAATAAGCTAGCTTATAGCTTATTTGATTAGCTTATAAGCTCCCTGTATTTAAAGAAGCCTGGTTTGGTAGGACGAGCTTATTTGATAAGCTTCATTAAGTAGCTTTTCAAATAAGCTAGTTGAATTTTTTTATTCCAGCTAACTTATCAGTTAATTTTACCAAACACTTTTAACATATAAGCTAGCTTATCAGCTATAAGTCATAAGCTATAAGCTATAAGCTAAAAAATTAATGATAAGCTATAAGCTAGCTTATCAGCTAGTTTTACCAAACATAAATAAGTTTCTTCTGTTATTAATACGCTACCTGGCAAAAATATATGCTTATCTTATACTTTTTGCCCCTTTTTTTTTATTTCTTGCATTATTTCAGTCTCAGTATACTTTTATGAAACATTGACAATGCAGGTTCTCATAAATTGCTTACGTTACTACCTGAGGCGGCCAGACACTGATGAAGACAGTTACTAGAGGAACTTTCTATGAACACAAAGCTCCCATATGTATGTGGTTGTGCGTGAGTAACCAATTTCGTGATTATATGCAATTTATTACCTTGGAAGAACTCATATAACATATATTCATAAAACTCATAAGATTGAATTATTTGAATCATTGAAATGGGACGTAACATTCTAAAGACTTGTGTTGTTATTCAGAACTTCCTGTAACTGTTTTATGTAGTTGGTGTATGCACTTTTGATATCAGTATCCTTACACATATATTGTACCTTTCAAGAATAGACTAACCTTTTTCTTGGTTTAGGTCAATAAATATGTTAAGTTTTGTATATATTTTATGGTTAATTTTTCATAAATGGAGGATTAAAAAAAATATGGAAAGAATTTAAAATTTCATGAGAAATTAAGTCTAAATTGTATATACGGGAAAATATAACTTCGAAGCTAAGAATTGAGTAATTCAAAGATTGCTAGACTAAAAAATGTTCAGTCTTTATCTAATGCTTGGGAAAGACAAACAAACGATGTCCATGCACTAGTCATGCTAGAACTCGAACAATGTTTGATGGGAACGAGTAGTTAGCTCAAAATTTGCGAGGGAGACGATCTATCCAACCTCTCTCCTTCCTTCTCACGTGTGATGCACGTTTTGGACGAGTTCAAGAGGTTTGGATGCTACCTTGTGGTTTATTTATAGGATATAACGAAATAAGGACACTCCCATCTTTTTCAAAATTTTTATTATTTGCCACGATTTTCCTTCTTTCCATTTTTCTTCTTCTTCTTCCCCTTTTTTGATCGGGACCAACCCTCCTCCGCCGACGAGCTCTTCTCCAACGGCAAGATCATCCCAATCGAGATCAAACACCGCCTCGCGTTGCTCAAGAAACTGGAAGAGCCTCCGCCGTCGTACACCCCACTCCAACCATCGCTTCCCCTGAAATCCAGCGCCAAAGTCGCGGCCACAAACCCGAAATCTGAGGAAAAGCGGAAGTTGTTCTAGCAGTTGAAGCGTGACACGAGGTTGAACTGCGGGAAGCATCTATGGC